ATGTATGTACAGTATGTATATTACGGCTCATATCGTACTTGTATATGTCAACTCTTATAAAAGTGTATACAATATCTAGAGTCGTTCTTTCGGTCAATAGGCTTTTTTACAATGACCGTATTCGGTACGCCTGAATTCATGTCAATTCAGCACTGCAACTCTATCTTGAAAGATGAATCCTGTTTAGTTGCCTGTGTGCTGATTGTTTTTGGCTCTTGATGGTGTTTAGCCAAAATACAAATTAGTTTCTTTTAATATTGTATTTGGTATGTTTGCGATAAGTTCATAACATAAATATGTTTTATTATTAATTTATAAATGTAGCCACTTTTATTGGTCAGCTGGAGGCATTGTTCCAATAATAGAGCGAGCTGATATGAAGAATGGAGGCAACAGAGTGATATTGGTAGACACTGACCTCATCAGGCCTGTCACATTAGCTGTAGATTCAAATTGTGAGTAGAAATATTTGAATAATGTTGTGATGATTTAAATTTTATTTATGAATACATTATTAGACACACATTCTTGTATACACATTCATACTTTTCTTTTGAAATTCGGCTGTTGGTCTGCACAACTGTACATGGATTAAAATCTAACTTAACGGATCTTTAAAATCTTAAAGCTTAAAGTTCCCATGCTTAAACTATGCAGCCTGCATATATCCCAAACTAGGTTTTCAAATCCTAAGGCCTCAAACCGCATGCCTAAACTACGCATCACGGGATAGAATTGTTCAGATCCTACAACTGCAGCCTGCAAACAAACTATCATCCCTATGTAGGAGAATTCTAATCATAAAGCTGCAGCCCACATACCTTAAACTATGCATATCGAATTATATTAGTATGGCGTAACAATAAACTTTCTAAAGTGCGGTTTGTGTTTTAACATAATTTAGTTTTATAATTCATTCTTGTGACCTAATTATCCTTGTACATCTTTTCATATAGTGAAACGATTGTACTGGGGTGATGCTGGTAATGAAAATATAGCATTTTTAGATTTGTCCACTGGTAACCGTCAAGAGGTTATTGTCGGTGTTCGTGTAGTGAGTGTGCAGATTTATGATATATATCTTTACTGGACTGATTTAAATCAAGATCAGATATTTCGTGCTGATAAAAACACTGGAGAAAATGTTGAAGCTTTTAGTGAGGATGATGATATCATACCATATTCGTTGTATATATCAAAATATGAAGATGAAGGCAAGTATCACAGTCTGTGAGAAGAACAACAGTTAACACATAACGAAAACATAACGAAAAAGTTCCTTAACAGTTGTGTGAAAAAATGTTTCTGGTGGGATTGGACGTCGCTGACATGGCGATGGCGAGCGTCATACCCCTAGACCATAAACATCTATTGGTATTGTCACAGATTCTATCTAGGCAGATACACTTCTAAGCACAACTAATATACGCCTGCACAGTGTGAGGCCAGAGAGAACTATACATAATAATTAATATAATACATAAATATT